TGAGGTGGGACATATTTCTTTCCTTTTGCAAGGTGTGCCGAGTCTCCAGAGGTCTGGATCTCTGCCTCTTTGACCTGTAGATGCTTGATCTTATCGTCAATGCTTAGAGTAGAACTGACGACACGGATCATATCAATGATGACTTTGTACTCATCAGGGAGAGACAAGGTCAGGCTTTGAAAGAGTGATTTATCTGTACACAAAGCACCGGCTGAAGCATCCGCAGATAAGAGCTTTCGTCGAAGATCCTTGAGCTTATCCCATGCACCTATAATAGTCATATCAGGGGTATCGTCGAAAGAGAAGGTCTTGATCTTGAGGAGGTACTCGTCTGCTGCGATATCATCGATTCTGGAGTATTTGACGGCTAGATAATCCCAAAGTTTCTTTGCTGTATCATATTCGTCCACTAAAGCCTCATCATCGTCAGATAATGAGCGACAGATGTAAGATAATGCACTAGCGTCGTCCTTAAGAAAGGTGGCCTTTTTGTCGATATTGAGTCGAATCTTTGTAGTGGTACTGCCGCTGCCGCTGGAGACTTGAAGTTCTTCGAAATCCTGGATTAAGTTGTCGGCTGCTGCAATCCGTGCATATTCATGCAATGTCTTTTCGCATGTATAGAACCAACCTTTTCCTCGAAGTTGAATTCTTATTTGACGAGTCCAGCGTTCGTGATTCTCTTGAGTGAGAGGAGGGATGCGCTTGGAGTAATCCTTGGATCCAGTGTCTTCGTTCATTTTGAAGGTTCTGCAAGTAGAAAGCTTGCGTCGATGACCTAGGCGTGATTGATGGTGGAATGAAAGAGTGGAAGAGGAACTGTTTAAGACTGCGCTGTCCCGATTGGGATGTACTAGTGTTTGAAGGGAGAAATTCTCTTCAAGGCGGGGTAATTAAGAATAGTGAATTTTGATTTGTAGATAATGATTTTTGAAGTGATATCGAACACTATGTAGCAGGTGATGCTCTTCAGCGTTAAGCTGGAATGAATGGTCTTTTCAGTAATAACTCGTAGTTTTCTTACTTGAGGAAAAGGCGCGATGTAAGTGGTTACTTCGCTGTCGCTGCTCAGCAATCTGTTTGCTGTGCGCACCTCGTATGTTGACGTCGCGTTGCGTAGGAGCTTCTCGTCGTCAACCTCTCCTTTGGCAACGTAAGCTATTCAAAGAGCTTTCGGCCTTAGTCTTACTGCAGAGCTACCGGGCTCATAACCTGTTCACAATAAAGGAGCAGGCCAGTGGAATGCATGTATTATTGACTATGTAGATTAATTGTACTAAGGTAAAATCTAACTACGAAGTGGAAGTGATATATGCACAGTAGCTTAGAGCACGTGCCACAACTTCCAACAACTTTGAATATTAAGGGTTTTAATTAAGTTAATTTTGATTAATAATATTACTTCAAATTAAACAATTCCTTGATTTATTAATTATTCAATTTTCAAAGTAATATATAACTTTAAGTAAATATATAAAATTTAGAAAAGAAGAATAATAATAATAATTAAAATTTCAGGAATTGATTAATATAAGTTTTAGAAAATTTAAATAGAAATTCAAATCGTTATTGAATTCATCAAAATTTTAATTATTTTAATTATTGTAATTATTTACCTTATTACATACTTATCTTTTTATAATTTAAATACTTTTATATTTAATATTATTATATTTAATATTAAATTCAATTTTTATTAGAAAATCTTAAGATCTATATTAATCGATTTCTAAAATTTTAATTAATAATAAAATAGGTTTGATTTTCATTTTATAAATTAATTTAAAATTGTATATTAATTTTAAATAATATGGAGTTACATAAGAACTATATTGTACAAATAATTTCTTCAAGATTTCTATAGGTACATTATACAAATTATAGAATTCTTTTTTGTATTAAGTTAGATAGAATTCTATTTTAGTGTATTTGTAATATCGTTCAAATAGGCCTCGGTAAATACACCAAAATTCGCGTCCCCAGATTTCAGCGCGTCTCCCCACCACATCATAATTTAAACCCACCTTCAACGACAAACGGACATCAGCACCAACACCTAAGACCATGTCTCTCCGCAGACGTCTTCAAACAGGCGCTGAGCACCATGCTCCACAATCATCTCCTACACCAGGCAGATCCCGCCTCTCCAATCTAAACGGATCAATTCCCTTCCCAGAATACACTCCACCAACATGTCCTCTCTCGGCCGATGCGCAACGAGCCATTTCCAATATCCGCACTCTTCACAATAGCGCGAAGCTCAAGAAACATCTCAGTCAAGCAATCAAAAATATTACAGACACCACTGTCGCCAACAATGATAGGATATGGGAGCGTAAAAGACAAGTAGAAAAAAATGCGCGGAAGAGGCAGAGAGATGGACAAGATGATGAGGAAATTCCGGCGGAGCATAAAGATTTGGAAATTCATACGAAACATTTGGCGAAGAAGGTTAATATCTGGACGGAGCAGGCGGAGTTGGCGATGCGGGTCTTGATTGATAAGGGCGATGAGGTGGAGAGGAATGATCTGGTTGTGAGGGATGTTTGTGGTAAACTAGCTGAGGCTAATCCGGCTCCTCCAATGCGAAGGACAAGGGGTCAAGAAGATGGAGAGGAAGCGAAGCAAGATGGAGTGGTTGTAAGTGCAGTGGAGTTGTTAGATCAAATTAAGGAGGAGTATAGGTCGAAATATGAGGCGGAAAGTATGACAAAAAGGTATATTATCCTTGTACCTGCGCTCTCATAAAGTTTGAAGTTAAAGATGCGGACAAAAGCTAATTAAATTCCCTACAGATACGCCTCCCATAACGACTACAAGAGCTTCAAGCGAGTAGTCCACGATTCCCTCCATCCAGATGGCGACCTACCCCTCCCCAAAGAATCCACATGGTTCCCCTCAGACCGCTCTCACCCATCTGCTCAAGCCAACGGACAAGCCGAAGAAGACTCCTCCGATGACGAGATTGTAATCGAACGAGTCGTCAAAGATCTCAAATGTCCTCTTACCTTTGCAATTTTCCGTTTCCCATACACCAACAACAAGTGCAATCACAGTTTCGAGAAAGAAGCAATCATCGAATATCATGGGAAAAATGCAACGAATCAGGGCGGTCAGAGAGTGGTCAAGTGTCCGGCGGTTGGATGTGAGAATTTAATTGCGATGAAGGATATGTATGATGATCAATTGGTGATGAGACAAGTTCGGAGGGCGACGCAGAGAGAAAGAAGTGAGGATAGTGATGACGAGGATGATGCTCCGAGAGGAACGCAAAGGAATAGACCTGAGGAATTAGATGATGAAAGTACATTTCTGGATGTAGATGATGAGGAGAGGCGACGAAGTGTAAAGAGGGAGAAAATGGGTAGTAGGCCGCCACCTACTTTGACGCAAGTTGATACGGATGGCGAAGACGAAGATGATGAGGATGAATGAGAGATTTATGAGTGGATTATGGACGGGCTGGGTAATATACAATATCATGGATTATGAGATGTAGCTATATATATATATATGTATGAATTGGTCTACCGCCAATCTAGTAGCTTTTGCTTTCTCCACGGCTATGTCAAGCCAAGGAAAATGATACCAGATTCATCAGTTCCATCCATCAATCTATGCATCACCAACTTTGAACATCGCCAACATCCAACCAACCAATCACTAACCCCCTCCCCAACTCAATAACGACCAAACAAGAAATACAACGCGCATTCCAAACCAAACTTTCCGAAAGCATTCAGCCATTCCAGTCCATCCATCCACCCCGAACATAAAATTTCTACCCTATGAACCTCTATTCGCCCCATCAAAACCCCTTTAAAACCTCATCATTCGCACACCCACGCCTATCTACACAACCCCCAAATACCTCAAATACCAACCGAACGTAGATGTAAAACTTCAAAAGTTACCTTGATAAAATTATTACAACAGCAACAACAAATCAAATCAAATCAATAAAGCAATCAAAAATGAGATACAAATCCTATCATCTCAAGCCCAAAAACACCATGTAATCTCTGTATTTGACTGATTCTTCTACTTCTCTCATTTCAAGGATTTCGCTTGATCTGAATATACGCAGTATTTGCTGCTAACTTGTGAGAAGTTCGAGCTTGGATTGAGAGACCCGAGAGACCTTGATTTGTGTTTGAGACTTTCTTTTATAGCTGGGACTCAAAGTTTTCGAGTAGTGGTTCCATGGAGTGTGACTTGTGTATCCGATGTATGAATAACATAGTAATATCTTACACTCTCATCACCTTGGCAAGAAATTCATACCTTTCATGGAACACCGACAGAATCACCAAGATACACACATTCTCCATTAGGTCTCCGCGCGCCGGTCAATTTAACGCCAGATCACATCATATCATGATAGACCAAAGATTTTACATGATGAATTTTATTTAACTATGAAACAAGAATGCTAGTATTTTCCTCACCAATCTGAAATCTCAATACCAATACCGACTGTCTGTCTTCTGCAAAGACAAAAAAAGGAAATAACAAAATTGTATCAGAAAGAAAACCATAGAGCCATCTCGATCATATGATCCACGTCTTCCATTGATTCCTGCCTACCATATCATTCATAAAACTATCCGCCAAATTCATATCAACTGGAGAAAGAAAGCCGTATCCCATGTCGAGAAAACGTGATGCTTAATGCCCAAACAATCCTACAAAAAGAAACTTGTGTGTATGTCTGGCCAATTAATTGAAACAAAAGACAGGAATGTAAAAGGCAAAGGTACAAAGATATGAAAAGTCAATGCTAGCATAAGTGAGGATTAATCCTCAGATACAAGTCCAGCTACTTTGATATCGAGTGCTGACGAGCCATTAATACAACAAGGTGCATGCTTGATAAACATGGTCTCCAATATCTAATAGATTCTATGAAAACCATGCTAAGCAGACGAGGAAACTATGATTGCAGCATGAGTTGTGAATATAAGATCCTAGAATGGATAATAAGATATCACAAAGTTACATCATTGCAGTTCTGCTTGACGTCGCTTGATAGATGTATGGCGGGCAATTTCTTTTAGGCAATCAAGATAGTCCTCATTTCCTAAATGCTCTGGAGAGCGATGGAAAGATTGACCACGGCCAATACGCGAGCGGTTCTCTGGCGTGCTTGGACTGGCAATACTCCGGGGCGAGGCCACCGCTGAGGATTTACTGGTACATGTCATGTTGACCATAGCAGGAGCCAGAGATGCTGCTGCCGAGCCGCGATTTTGGAGAGGAACAATACCTTGAGCATTAGCCGAAGAAACATGGGCAGGTGCAGCAATGGCTGAATGAGTTGCAGGCTGAAGGTTCAGCAAGTTCTTCAAAATCTGATTCTTTTGCACAGCACTACAAATAATCAGTAAGACTTGGAAGTTTGGGGAAATAGGGTTTACGCACCTGCTTGTAGTTCTGATAAGTTCAACGAAACTAGATTTGCTCTTTGGAGAACCATCTTGAGCTGAGGGAGTGACGATCAAATTCTCTTTCTCGTTACAAGACTGAGTACTCGTCGAAGTACGATGATCTTCACGTCGGGTCCAAGGTCCCATACTCTTATTATCATCGACATCATCCCCATTCATATATGTTGGTGTGACGGTACCTGGTCTGCCTCTGATTGGCGAATTCGACGCAAAAATGCTACCCAGATGTTCAGATGTGTGTAGTGGAACATTAGAAGCCTCTTCAATCCTGTAAGATGGTACGACTTGTGGAGAACTCGATGCAAAAATGCCCCCTAAGTCTTGACGAGTCAATGACTCATTACCAGTAGGAATTGTGTCTTGGTTAGATGCTGGTGCATGTAGATCGTTCAATGGAGATGCACTGCGCAAGTCTTCAAACGTTCGGGAATTAATGTCAGAAGTAGTCGAGTCTTTTTCAGCCTTCAAGGAATCTGTGGCATCTGGTTCATTTGAGCCAAAAATAATACCAAGATCTCTGCGTGTCAAGGACGGAGTACTAACAGGTCTTGTAACTCGTTTTGGTGTCGATTCACGGGGCTCCTCCGTAGAAAAGATAACAGCCAGATCCTCGGATGTATAGTGACGATCAAGAGAGGGACTTGCAGTTTGAATGGAGTGATGAGTGGGTGTTGATGCAAATCGATCCTCCAATGCAGAAACCACTTCAATATCGCTACGAGTTGACGAGCGTATACTGGCGGAGTTCGCAGCCTGTTCAGTGCAAGGGCTGTGGAAGGCTGCAGACTTCTTGCCTGAGTCTAAATTCTTTTCAGGAGCCTCAGCAAAGACATCGGAGAGTATCTTAAGTCCTTCAGCATCAGCAGTGATCTCACGTGGTGTGTTGACAACTTCGGGAGACGGATTTCCATGAGCGTTGCTAGTAGACTCATTGGCAAGAGATTGGGTAGTCAAATTGAATGGTGAAACTAATCTGCCAGCTCTCGATTGTGTGTCCACAGCATTATGACTGGCAGAATTTCGCATTGGACTATGCCATGGCGATGCATATTTTGTTACGCCTGAATCAGTGGTTTCATTGAGAAATATTGATTGACATTTGTTGAGATAATCTTCCGTACTGAATGTGGTCTGATTGTTATTGTTGCCATGGTCAGGTGAAGTTTGTGCGAGTGTCTGTCTACCAGTATCAAATCTTGGAGCTTGCCGAGAAGAGCCGAGGGTTGAAATATTGCTTGCTGAATTGCCAAAGTACTCTTTTTGAGCAATAAATCTCTCCGGATCATAGCTTTGAGTATTTACTCGAGCGTATGGTTGGAGACTTGTGTTATTTGAACTCATAGCAGGGCCATAAGACATCTGTGCCATCTGCGAAACAGAGATAGGGTGCGTCTCAGTTCTCTGGAAACTTGGCAAGGATGCTGCATGGGTTTGAAATTGAGGTACAGGCATTGTCTGCGATCTTGGCATGCTGATCATGCTTGAGCCAGCAGCAGAGTCCTCCCAGCGAGTCTGACAATTGCCCATAAGTCGAGCCAATCTTTGAGCAGTGTTTTCCGGTGTTGCTGGTGGTGATGTTTGACCTCCCGGACGAGGATCTGTCACTCTCGCAAAATCCTCCCATTCAGCAGCACTGAGATCTGTACGGCAGCCACGGGGTTGGAATGGTGGGGCCATTGCTGCTGTAGCAGGCAATCGTGAGCCAGATCCAAGTTTAGTAGTGGAGGCTCGCGGAATGGTTGGAGAATCAACACTTCGCGTGGTTGATGAGTTTGCATAAGCGACGGAGGGCTCCTGACTGCGTAAGGTGGTGCTTGGGCTAGAGCTGACAATGACTGGACTTCGAATATCATTCGTGTTAGATGAAGTATCAAGTGAGTTTCCAACATCGACAGAGGTTTGAGACGTCACCTGTTCAGTTTGGGCGCTACCTGATTGGTTACGCTCAGACTGAAGTAAATTCGTCATCCTCGCAATCTCTCCCAGGAGAACCTGGCGTTGAGTTGCCCAGTAAGGAACTAATTGTAGCGATTGACGGGATATGTGATCTTCTAGCATCATGAGATGATCTCGGTGTTGTTGAAGAGTCTGCTCGGTGGAGGTCAATTGAAGTGGTGGCATCGGCGACATTGGAGCTTGTTGTGGCATCATTGAGAAAATTTGTCCATTAGGATGTTGCATCATGGGTACTGGAAAGTTTCCTGGAGGCATTGGAAATGGAATGGGACCCAGCATTGGGTGAGGCATATGGTGTCCTGGAGGGCCGCCTAACATAGGAGGGACAAATGGTGGGGTTCCTACCAAGCCGGAAGGAAATCCGCTGGGAGATTGAGGAAATCCCGAGGTGGGGAAACACAACTGGTTATTGACCATCATGTATGGACGATTTGGGTCGAATTGACCAGGATGAGAGACTCTGACTGGTTGCAAAGAGCTATTAGTGCTATCGTTACCATTGGCGCTTTGAAGGAGAGGCTGTGTGTGGCCTGGGTGACTAAATGTTTGGCCTGGCATATTCGGTGCACCTTGCTGAAAATAACCATAAGGTGGTAGGAAAGAACCAGGAAAGACAGGATGAAATCCCGGAGGGCCTTGTGCTCCAACAGGAATTAAAGATGCTTGAGCGTCACCAGCAATGCTATTTGCAGCTCGGCTGCGATCAATTTGTTCAATCTCGTTGATTTTCTGTGCAGACTCGGATGTATGCTTGTTGCCAATAGGCTCAAATGATGGTGGTGCCATTGCTCTAGTGTTTGGAACTATGCGGCCACCAGCAGTAACTCTTACGTGAGTTGGAGAAACAACTGCTCTATAGAATCTTCGAAAGTTCTCGGCCTGATGCAAATTTACGTTAGTCGGCGCAGAATGTGGTTGAATTTGATTATCAAAGGTGCGACGTGATTCAGAGTTGGTGTTTTGACGTAAACACCAACTGCCTTGACTGCGCATTGATTGAGAAGAAGAAGAAGACGATTCTCCGCGACGCGTTGTAACTTCAGGACGTGTATACTTGTGTTGGTTCGAGAGGATTGTGGTCAAACAAGTGTAAGTGTGGGGATTTTGGAATGCTTGCTCAGGAAGGGTGAATATAGCAGCTGCAGACGTCGTTTCGTTAGTAATTATGGATTGGTGAATAAAGGAAGATCGGGATAATACTAACCAATATCAGGGTGCTTGTTTATGTTGTCGATTACACAAGAAACAAATGGAAGAGATCTCTTCAGATGAAGCAACTGATCAATTGTATAGCAGTGTGCCTTCATGCTTGTATCTTCAAGAAGAGACATTGCGGAGAGTCGATGAACCGACTTGCCAAACACCACGTTTAGCGCCGCCTCTCAGCTATATCTTGTGATTTACGACAAGAGTGAGAATGGACCGAAAATTCGATATTGAGAGCGTGTACTCCTGGTTATTGTCCAACAATTGAAGTTGTTCAGCGAAAGAATCGCAGAATGGAGTCGATTGGAATTTAAGAGTAGGGTGGAATTATGTCGCAGAAACAATTCAAAGGTTGAGTTGTTGGGGTTTCCTTTTGAATACCTGATAGATATCCTTTCAGGCTCGTCGCTAAAAGAAATCAAAGATAGCAGTCAGTAATTGAATATTTTCAAGTGAATGCATGAACAAATAGGCATGTGCAATGTCAAAACACATCTGCCAGCTTGAGAAAAGGTGAGGTAAACAACAAACATCCTCGAGGATAGTTTATTGGAAGCTGGGGATGACTGCTTGATGATCTCAGATCACCATGGTGATGGTTGTCATCCACAAGTCATGATATGCTCTTCTCTGATCTCGAATATCATTTTATCATTCTCATTATATGGACAGCTTCACAGGCTTCAATGGTAATGGGATGATATACAACTTACTGGTATCGTAGAAGAGAAAAAAACTATTACCAGGAACAAACAGGTGGTAAACAGGTGAATACCAAACAATTATTTTGCAAAGCGTGGATAGCTGGAGACAGACATAAACAAAGCGATAGAGGAGAAATAAAGAGACTGTCACAAGGAGTAGCAAGAGGCAGAGGGTGGCTCTGTTGGAGAAAGACTTTGCTGATGAATGGATTCCATCAACAGTAATGCTGAAATTGGAGGGAGTGGTGTTGCTGTCCTTTGAGGGAAGAGAAGTTTCCGTTATGTAGGACAGAAAGAGCACTTACTATATTGGGTAATTTTACGATTCGGTTCGAGCAAACGAGAAGCCACTACCTTCAACTGATGCTTACTTACAGAGGGCGGTGTGATGAGGCTGATTGAGGCAAGGGCAAGAGCAAGACAGGAACCACAGATTGAAGCTTCACTTTCAAGCACCGCAACAATCAAGGAATCGTCATAGATGACCCAATAGAAGCAGAGCCATTCCATCTCCCTCCAACTACAAACTTAGAGCTTGATACCGTAATATGTAGAGAAATGGTCTGTCTAACGATCTTCACTATTACCAGCCAGTACCAAAGCACTTAAGCATGGTGGCGAGTCTAGCCACATGAAAATTCAGAACACCCAGGTGCTTTGCAGTTGATATACTGATATTCCATTCCTATCAGTTATCAAACGGAACATACAAATCGAAGCAATCAGAAAACCTCCCCTCGTTCCAAGGATTTATTGACTATGATCACGTGTTGGCAGCTCGTCTAGAGACTTTGGCTAGAACCACTGATTTGAATTTGATGCAGTAAGGCAAGCTTTGAGGACTTGATATGACCCTTCCTGTCCTAAACTGTTCATGCTTGGGTGGGGGGAACAAGATGTTGATGTGCAAAGCACGAAGCTTGAGTGAAGTGATGTTGAGACAGAAGCTAGGCGAGCTTTCAACCTTACTGATTAAGGACTAGTGAGAACTAAGCATGACTATCTTTACACGTGACTAAGATTTCTTGGTATGAACAACTTCGGCGAATCGGAATGAACAGTATCGCTATTATTCTTAAGCTTTTACCGTGCTCTTTTTATTCCTGCTATGTCTCCAACGTATGTACCATAGCAAACATCGATTTGCACAGTAAATTGCAAATACTCGGGAACGACGTGTTATCTCAGAGATTCATTATTGACGTCGAGATGGTTGATTGGCAGATAACCGCTAAATGAATGCTGAGTTCACCGAAAGAGGCAAACGCTAACTGAGCGTAGAATCATGTACTTCCAATGTTTCCGGACTTCTGCTTTTTTTTCCCAAAAGCGAATGTTCTCGTTCAATAAGATCGGAAAGTTGATGTGGTATCAAACATGCAAGGCCGTGAAAATTTTCTCCATACTCCGTGTGTGGCACTGCTCCATTTCTCAAAATTGTATTTGGGAATCTCCTATGCAGACTGCTCTTTGCTGGGTACTTTCTTAGCAAGATCTTTCAATGGCATGAAATATGTGATGAGTCACATGTTTTAAGTAGCTCCCTGGATGCGCACGCAACGCAATCCGTTGTATCGTGATTCAAGATTTTGTTACACCCTTGCCTGCCCGCCGACTTGATTAAAATACAAAAATTCTTGACCACATGAAGATATCCCCATACGATGCTAAACTATTTTTGACAACCAAACAGAGAGCGTCGCAATTGCAGAAAAGCACTTTTCATTTCCAAGTTATCCCATTCTGGCCAGCATTGAAAATTGCCCCTTTTGGCGAGAAAACATACCAGCAAAAATACTATTCTTTCACTGTCGAGCAGACGCAAAAACCGGAGAAAGGAAATGATATCCCGGAGAAAGCAACCGAGATTGGATTAGATGTATGGTATCTATCCGCCGTCCTTTTGTGCTGGTAGAATCTGCTCTCTTGTAACTTGAGAAACAGTACCATCGTTTGCTGGAAGGCTCTCGACCGTTGGTGAAGTGGTTGTTGGAAACTCCACGCTCTTTGGCTCCTTCACTATCCAACCGCCGTCAAAGTCGCTCAAAGCGACAATCTCCATCACTGTATAATACAAACTCCCATCTTGAATCTGTGGCACGATTACCTCCCTTGACATTCTAAGTTGAGATGCAGAAACGATAATTTCATCTCTACCGCTCGCCTGACTGATATTAGCATGTATCGGCTCATGGATGACGATTGGCATACCAAACATTTCGCACACGATTCATTGTTAACCCAGACCCAATTTTCACAATTATACAATAACCAGTACTTACACCGGTACTTGTAGTATCCTCCACCAGACCCACTCATTGTGTTCTGGATATGTTTTTACTGACTGCTAGTAGCAAGATATCTTTCGGATTTGATTGCACTACCCGCTGGTAGGAGAGCGGCTCGAATGACAGGATGGCTACAACAGGGCAGCTTTAATGACACAATATGGCACCGAGAACGTAAAAACTATGTCCTAATTCTTGGTATGGACGCACAGCCTGCAAATGAGGTTTAATAAAATTATGAGTAAAATTTCTACCTTTTGACAGGAAAGGGATCGGAGTCAAGATATATATAACTGACATCAAGACATCTAGAATTATGGAAAGCAGTAGGGTACTTTCGAGACCAATAATACTCCAAATCTTCAAGGCAAATTACATGGATCAAGATGATATTCCCCGCTCAAATCTCATAAGGATTACATGGAAAGTCCAATGTTGCAGATTTGTGTCGAAAATGTATTTGGTTTCTCCAATAATGTCTCATGCAGACTTCACGACTTTCGCAGCGCAGCAAAGAAAGAGTCCGCTCGCATCTGCAGCAGGCCCAAATGGAGTTCTATACGTAATAATGTGGCTTCAGATTTCATTTCAGTGGCACTCATAATATTCGAGAAGTCGACGTATGATCCCCAGATACTGAATCATCTGGAAGTTCATGGACAGACAGTTAGATCCATGCGACAGAGAAAAACAATCGAGGTCAAGACCCCACTTTTGTAAAGGATATCATATTTGACATCGGGCACGGATTCATTCATGATATATTTAAGCAGTCAATCTCGAATACGGACTATTTTCTGGATGACTGTACCTCTGCGGTCGCTTGTTGAATCATCACCAGCATCGATGTAACATTCCACCTGTCAAACTTGCAGGCGCGCAAGACTTATGCAGCTAAGGTAATGCACCTCTTACTAGCCCATACGCAGTTCTCGCAATCAATCGCCCTATCTCGATGCTACATGGGTGACTACTTCTGTCTTTTGAGAGCGTTGCGCCGCAAAGCAATCGGCGATTGTATCCGTATCCGTATCCGACTGAGGACATCTCAGTTTCCTCCGCGAAACACAGCATGTGTAGCTAAGATTAAAGACAATATCGACTGCATTGTTATTTGTAATTATTGCTGACACATGAATGCAGATATGAAGCTATAATCTAATATCCGCGGACGTCTGCAATGTGCTAGGATGTTCGGGTCGTTAGCGAAGGCTTTCCGGGTCAGCTTCCACACTTCCTGCCCGCCTTTGTGCCGTCGCAAGGATGATAATGGTACTTGATTTAGTGGCCGTTGCACTTAGAACGCTCCTAGACTTTCAGCCCCGTGGATAGGCAAACATCAATCCGTAACATTTTCGTCGAACTTGAGTAGTTACACGTGGTGGAAAGCAAAAGTATGTGGCTCAAAATAAGTCCACTTTATCTACTCCGAAAAGTATCTCAAGCCTCAGGACTTCTTCAGTGCAATTGACCTGTCTACATCTAAATGCAGCATTGCTAGCCCCTTGTGCACGCAATTCATTAAGACTGAATTTCAGCTCGGAGTCATTATTGTTAATAGCTTATCCTTACACCTACCAATGGCCTCCGCTTTCCTGAACAATTCACACTTCTCCTTGTTTCTTTTAATTCATGTAATCACAGTCGTGATGAATGCTATACCAGTGGGATAGTCGCAGGCCGATGAATTCGAGTTATGTAACCTTGTGTAGTACAAGCCTACAAAATAACGTTGTGAGACGCTTCACGGTTTCCTGTGAGTTTTAATGCCTCTGATTTGTTACCACAGAAATGGCCGAAGAAAATAGTCCTGATTTAGATGAGCAGATATGGGAATTGGGCTTCCTACAGCGCTGATACATCCTCTTTTGCTGCCGTACAGCACAAGAATCGGCAGCAGAACTTTAACTTTTACATGTTGAGTTAATTCATCAAATCACTATGCGAACAGACAACACACAAGCTCAACGGCTATCGTAATTGTAATGCCATTGGAACAGTTTAATTTAAATGGCTTTTGGCAGACTTTGTGCCACGGACTACATATAGATGTCAAAGCATGCACTAGAGTAGAGCATTTTATGTTCAATCTGTCGACCTACATTAGCCGGGATGAAATTCTTAAGCTTTTAA